AAAAAATGACAGTGGTGTCACTGTTGGCGTACGAAGGCCAAGGGGGAGGGAATATATTTATCCCTCCAGCCAAGGTTACCGATGACGATGTAGCAAATACAGGAATAAAAACACGATTTAACAAGGATCAAATTTCCTCGATTGCGTTACATTTCAAAATCTCACAGCTTTTCACGAGGAAAATCTTTATACAACACAATTATAATAATATGATACTCAACTTTTCTGTTGTATTCACGTTACGGGGAATACGCGGAATTCGATTTCTAAACACGACGAATAGTTTTTCCAATCATATATAACAAGAGCATACTGCGCGCCGTTAAACACGATAAAATAAAAAATTTAAAAAACTCACGATCTCAACTCAGAGTAAGAGAAGAATACACTATTGTGGAATATATTATTATTATTATTACTATTATCATTGCAAAAATATTGAATATGACAACGTTTAGAGGCTTTGAAGGTTTTGGGATTTTATTCATGTGATCGATAACATAAAACATATGATGAAACTCAGTGCATAATCTGAGGGGGGGGGGAGTCAAGTGGGTATGCTTGCTCTAGGCGCTGTTGATATTAGGGCATTCTTAGGTTTATGAAAAATAAAATAATCGTGAACATACTCCGTACATTGATTTACGTAAGGAAACTGCATTTTTATTAGACATGGGCGTCAAATTTCCTAGATTAACCTGCACCGATATAACCTGTAGATAATCTAAATTATTGTAAAATTTGATAGAGAATTTTATAATCTGTCATCACGTAGTAATGAAATGAATACGAACATATTCATAAAACTAATATTCGAAAACAAATAAAATTAAAATAACTAATTTTTTTCTTGGGATAAAAGTACGACCTCTTCATAATTACAATATTCAATTCGTTGACCAGTTTAATGAGATTTAAACTATAAAGTAGAATATATAACATATACTAGTCGATTTTCCACAATTCGCTCCAACGAAAACGATTTGGATAAGATTTAAACTGATTATAAATATACGCAGAGAACAATTTAAGGGGAAAAACGAAATTGCTTAAATCACATTTGTATCGTACACCTACGCCATATAATATTTCACACATAAAATACAAGGAAAGTAATTTTTTTATATATGTAATATATGTACATAAATATATATTTGTGTGTGTGTGTGTGATGATGAAGAGGAACTACACGAGTACACACAAAGAGGGTGGCGGCCATTGACCCGTTTTATAATATACGAAGAGAAATAATTTTTTAACGATTTCCGTGCGTATTGGCTTTCCTTTTTCGAATTTGACACGTGTATATATTCATTTTTGATTTTCATTTCATTTTGAGCTCGATTTTTACCTTTTCTTAGAAAATTTTAACTACTCCTACATTAGTACATTAAGAGACTCATTATTATACATATGTAATAAATATACGTAGAACTTGGACGAGAAACAGAAAATACAATTGTTTGAAAATCACTATTTATATATAATATATATTGTACGGTTAACCTTTTGTAAGTTTTGAAATTTAAACTAATTAATTAATTTAAACAATCAAATAAACTCGTAATGGTCAACTACAGGCAATTCTACAAAAATCGTCAAATTGTCCATTAACGGTGACAACGACTCCTCCCAAGAAATCCATTATACTCTTGACTCCCGCTGAGAAAAATCTTCTATTAAACTCTTATTAGCCTCCAGAGAATATTTTTATAGTCTCGTGGGCATTTTATCAATAAACTAAACGTTAAAACATCATGCACACGGTCTTTATGATTATTATTTAGTAATTTATAAAATTCAACCATGGTTTATATCGACAAATATTATATTCGTAATAATATTATTAAGATGTTGATGAAAATAACTGCTAAAATCAAAATACAAAATAAATGAACATTGTGCTCATTGACATGATTTGTTCATTGATTAACTTAATATTAATTCTATATAAATGTCTTAGTTTTACACTGTAATATAAATCTAAATACTTATCAGATAAACAACAAATATTTCCAAACGGAACATAACAGAAATACTTATTATATAATGATAATTTTTTTTATAAATAATAAACATCTTATTTGAATGACAAAAACATTACTGAATAAATTAATAATTTCTAATATTTTTAAAATAATTTCTTTTTAATATAATAATTGGATATTTAGTTATTTGCTTTGAAATAATTTAGTTTCTACAATTTAGTATTAATACCTAAGAATAGGAACAGGTGATGCATAGACATCAAGAACAAAAATTATATGAAGATATATAGCTAGGAAAATGTTTAAAATATATATTAAATTAGTATTGATTGAAATGAACGAGGTAAATTATCAGAATAATAATTATAAGTACCTACTACATACACTGTTAAATTTTATTTTTTATTCATATATTACAAAATTGTTTAGTAAATAAATCAAAATTTCTTTTACTGTTTAATAAATTTGAAATGTAATATTGATTTTAGAAGTTATTTATATATATATTAGTTACTAAGATTGAAAAACAATACGTTTATCCCTGGTTACATTTTTTTTTAGAAAATTCAAAGAAGTTTACCAAAACTTGTCAAAATATTATAACTTTTATTATAATATATTAACTTCTTACATGTTAATATTGTACCTTTTATTTTGTTTTAATTGAAGCCAAATTAGACTGTTCTTAAGATGCAAATCAATCGTGATGAATACTATACTCGCTAGCATAATTACTATTTCTAGGTAAGAATTAACGAGTTATTATTTATAACAATGATGCAGTCTGAAAAATAGCAGAGCAACAGGTGTGCCTATTCACTTTTTTACGGGACATGAAATTATATTTATTTCGTTTTTTTCGAATCTTACAGTAAATTTAAATTAAACGTACTCAAACTACAAATTTAAAAACAAAATACCGATAGTAACAATTAAACACATCCCTCTAAAGGAAAACAGAAAAAAATAATAATTACATACTTAGGTAGTTATCTAGATAGTAGTTGTAAAAGCAATCAAAAAAAAGATATTTAATTTCTAACTCAAAAACCAACATTATACATCTTGTATTTATAACGTTACTACAACTATTTATATTAAGTTTTCTAAATATTTAATCAGAATGTAAGTATCACAATAAAATTTGGAATTCGCTATTAATATTTTATTCCAATTTCAAATCTTTCTGTTAAGTACATGTGAAATTTAGAATCGTAAAAAAATAAATTATATAATTTGAGGTAAAACACATTAAAAAAATTATATTGCTAACGTTTGATGTAAGTATTATATTTAATTAATTAAACAGATATTAAAACATTAAATATTTAACATTGTAACATCGCTATAGATTTGAAAATAGGAATTGTTTTACGGCTACTACCGTAGTTTAAATGTTTGATGAGTTGGCACCGCAAAAACTTTCTTCGATTTTCCAATAAGTACTAAAATTATGTAATTTAAAAACGAATACAATTGAATGAAGCACATAGAAGTGACAGAGGAATATTTATATGACGTACTAATGGAATGTCTGGTTATGTTTTTTATTTAGCATTGAACAGCATATTTACAAACATTTAAAGTACTTATACAACAATATGCATTTATTATCGCCAACACGTGGAAAAATCGAAAATATTATTACTAGAAGTGTGGTATTAAATGTGAATATTTCTGGCAAAATAAGATCATACTCATCTATATAACAGTTATTCAATTAGTGTGTAAATAAGAGACATTGAAATGTGAACCGAATTAGAATAAGAATAAGAACAGAATAAGACTGATTTTACCATGATATACGAGGTATTATATATTCTGTCAGGCTTCTCCACGTACGCAATTTTTTTTTTTTTATACAACACGGCAGTTGTCTCAATATCCACTCCCCGGAAACAAACGACAATAGAAGTGACAATTTCGTTTTACCCATAATCACTTGCTACATAGTTGCTAAAATTTAAAAATGTCCACCTGCACTAATAAATTTGTACCTACCAAATAGAAGCTCATTCATGCATTTATAGACGACAAGCGCAAAATATAGAATAAAGAGAATTTTAAATCTGGTCAATAATCATAATTTATTAACAATTTCGTTTCGATGTAGTCCAAACTTCTCAAATCCTAAGACTTCAAAAACAAAAATGTATTCAGTATTCTAAACAACACTATGGTTAAATAAAAATGTACAATACAAATGTACGCATATTATTTGTTAAATATATCAGATGTTCTCACAATTTTATTTCGCTAGTTAAAACAATATTGCCACAATTTATGAAAAAAAATTCATAGATAACAAAAACAACGTATATATAGTACAAATACCACTATAAACAGGTGTATATATTTAACGAAACTATGATGTACCACGGCATACGTATATACCATTGTAATACACCATTAACATAATATATATATACCATTGTAACCGAGATTGTAACATAACGGAACTATAAAGCGGTGATCAGTGTTATACCCAATTGATTCAATCGTAATTATTGTTTAATGCATGGAACACGGATTTGCATACGAAGGGTCTAGTTAATATTATGTTCAATCGAAAGCCTATAAAAATTTAATTTTTCCAATACGCTACATGGTTTTACGATGTTAAGGTGAAATGACGATTCAATGCGAAATCTCGAATATACGACAATGTAGGCAGAGCCACAGTGAACGGTAAAAATAACACAATTTCTCTGCCCGAAAACGGTGACGAATTTATAACAATTTAAGCGCCTACCTAACCGTCGACGACGGGGCGGCATAATTTTTTATTTTTTTTACGGTCTAATTATCGCCAGGAGACGGAACAAGCCGCAGAAGCAAAAAAAAAAAAAAAAATGAAAACTGCTGTCATTCGTACGCCTAGGTGTAAAACGATGTTTATGAAAATCAGGCTAGTGTATACCTAACGTTTCTGCGCGAAAACTCGAAAGAGGAACGCGCGCGATGCAAAACAGAATATACACAAAAGACGAGTAGAAAAAAATAATAACTTACGCGAGTTGAGTTGAGGTCCCCAATCAGATCGGAAAAAGTTTTCGGGCTGCGAGATTTTCGATCAACATCGACGAGACGAATAACGAGAGGCGGTTGGTAATTTATGTACGCGAACCACACTCTTCGGAGACCACGCGCGAACACAACCGCGGTACACCGGGCGCGAACGGTATGAACCGATGTATAACCGAAAGAAACCAAAAGAAAATTGTACGCGCGCGCGATTACGCACTGCAAGAATATGGGCGGACGAGCGTACGGGTGTGCGCTTGGATTCACGTACACGGCGCACAAAGGACGGACGGGCACACGCGGGTATCGGCCGGGCGGAGGAGAACGGCAGCACCACACGAACGCGCGACGGAAGAACACGCGGACGAAACACGATTTATACGATATTTTCTTTCGCGTACACTGCACACGCACACGACCGACGGAAGACACTCGCGCGAGCAGTTAGACGACGGAAACAACGGCCAGCAGAAGAAACAAAATATTAATCGTAACGCGATCGGCGTGCGAGCGTTCACTTACGACGGGTGGCGGCTTTTCGGGCACACAAGTGGTGTACGTATGCGAGTGTACGTGTGTGAGTGAGTGGTGAGTGTGTATGTGTGTGTGTGTTTGTGTGTGTGTTTGTGTGTATGTGTGTGTGGCACGCGAACGACAACGTCGATCCACTCGACGCGATCCACTCCACTCGACTGACGTCGGCGGCGACTGATCGAGCGCACCGGGCGGCCGTGGTCGAGCGTCGTCGTCGTTCTCGGCGCAGCACCGACGTTGGTGGGGTAAAGGGGATAGCTAGACGACGGTACCGCGGAGAGGTGGTGGCGGTGGTACTGGTAACGACGGCGGTGGCGTAGATGGTGGTAGTGGTGGTGGTAGTGTAATGGTAGTGGCACGTCGGCGACGGCGGTGCGGTCGACGTACGAAAAGAAAGCGAACAACAATGAAACGATTGCGGAAGCCGCCGCCGATAGTCGGTGTTCGCGTCGCGCACACGTTCACGGTTTCGTGTACGTCGCACGCGCATATGTTACGGACACGTATGTCCACGCACAATGTTCGTACAATAATACGTACACGCATAACATTACGTACGGGTCGTCGCGAGTCGATTTGGTGCGTGTGCGCGCGTGATATAGCTGGGAAGTTATTGCACTGTAGAGCTTTGGAGATGTATTGGAGACCAGGTGTGCAAGGCGTTAGAAAAGTTTAACATAACTCTGGACAGTGCTCGGATGTGAATTTTTTTTTCGTGTGGTGGACGAAACAATTTGTTTAAAAATGGCGGCCAAATGGTTAGAGCAGACGTTGTGTATTGCATCCGAACAAATCCGAACAACAATAGAAAAATTTCACAAATTAAACGGCATCCGCGTCCGAACTATCTGCATATAACCGTTACAATCGTTATTTCTATTGCGATTGTTTCACGCATATATTGGTTATATTATTGAAACACTTCGGTTGGACGGCGTGCGTATTCGTCGAGGCAGGTGCGCGCTAGTCCGATTTTGCTTAGAACCTTGCGCGCGTCTGTCCCTTTGAGAATAAATCAAATAGGATATTTCAATTATCGATTTGCACGCGAAACGCGAATATATGTTATTACGTTACATGCTATACTGCGCGTGTAGCATTAACCGTTATCGAGAAAAGTGGAATCTTGCTCGTATGTGGTGCGTTAACACAAACGTTAACTGCACAAACGAGTTATTTTATAACGCTCATAATCATCGAAACGAATAGCGCATGGTATAGCGAAAGCACCGAAAATAAACTGTGCATTTTAAATTTTCGTTTAGTTTTCTTTTGTGTGTATATAATAGAAATATTTGGTTTTATAGTAAAAAAGATCATTTGCGGAACGATTTAAACCACAATTAGGTTAATTACTCTGAAAATATATTGTATGATATTGCTTGTTCATCAAAAGTCTATACAATGTTTTTGTTTTCAGTCACTTGGTAACTAATACAATAGTTTTATCGAATTCATTCGCATTCCCTATTCTATTTCGACTTCTTATTGAACACTTGTTTCTGTCCCCAGCGGTTCAAATATATTTTCATTGTATATATGGTACATTGGATACATATTTGTTGGTTTTTAACCAAATTTTAAAACTCATTTTATGGTTTATAAACAAATTTTAGGTTGCAGAACTAAAATACCCATATTGTTAAATAATATTAAGAACATACATAAGAGTTCATAAATGAAAATGTTCTATAATTAGTTTAAAATAACAACTCATATAATTATTATTTATACTTTTTTAAATTGGCAGAACAATAAAGAATAATCGTTAATTATTTTAATGACTTTAATGAACAATTTTTTAAAGAATAAATTAATGAATATATTATTATTTTAAGATAAATGTTATATTACTTCCTATTCCATTTGAAACAAATTAATCAATTATTTTAATAAAATCATTTGGCACTGATCTTTGAATTTTTTGCGATAACAAGCTGCTTAAACACTCTTGGTTAATGCTGGTTCTTAAATTACGTTTTAAACGTTTTTAACATAAAAATGTTCTTTCACATGTAGCAATACTTGTTGGTATAGTTAAAAATATTTTTATTATTTTCGTATAGTTAATAAATCCTATTTGTAAATTACCACATAACAAATATCTCTATGGTATTTTATTATTCCTGTTGAACTCATACTTAATTTCGAACATCAAATTAACCATAGTAAATTTAATAGTGACTTTATCAAAATCTGTTTTACACGTTTCACGTTTTTGTCGCTGTAGTGACACTGAATTTACACAATCATAATTAATATTAGGGGATTGTAAATAGTTTGATAAAATGTTAGTTTCACGTATTACATAATTTAAAAAAAAAACTATGCTGAACATAAATTCAAAGTTTAATATGGAAATAATAACGAAGTAACATAAATTATATTTATTTAATTTTTTTCTGGTACCTCTTCTAGAGTTTTGTGAATGACCGTAAAATTAAAAATAATTGAGCTTAATACATCTAACCTGCAAAACCATTTTGTATCGCTCAAACTTTGTAAAGTTATTGGTCTAATTGTATCATCCATTTTTATCTATTTATATTTGCTCAAATATTTAATTTACTTTAGAAACGGCACCAATAAAACTATGCAAAGTTTTTAATGTTCCAAATTTATAAAAAAGTGTAAATAAGTATACTGTTGGATTATCTAAAGGCAAAATGGTACCTTTGCTACACCACAACATTTCAGGGGAGTAAGTGCATCCCTTGCGCCCCTGCAATTATGTCACTAGGCTTAGCAAAAATATTAATGTGAGTTTTTAAAATGCATTAGTTTATACGTTATATCGGTATTGAAATAAGAACTGCAGAATATTTTTTTTTCAATATTTATCACTTGGTATACATTGGTTATTTTATATAATCGCACATCATGATGATTATCTTAGATTTTTAAGGAGTTTTTATAGGCAATTTTCACACATGTACTATATATTTAAAATTTAAATATATTTTAAGAATAATTTACAACTATACGCATATCAGTCATAATTAATAATATCCATTCAAATAAAGTGCAGTTGTAGGTCTTCGCTTTCCCAGCTCTCAACTTTTCCATATTAATCAAAAAAAATCACAATCCAGCTGAAATATTTCTATACATTTTTACAATTTTTTAAACATAACACCATGACTCATCATTGCATAGTAGATACATTCGGCTTGATAACCGGGAAGTACTTGTTTTGTTTCAAAGAATTATAAAACATTAGTATTAATATGTATATTATTCAACCATTACTTACGCAGAAATATGCATTAAATTAATTTGGATTCCATTCTCTTAGATCTTTAGGTCTTTGCGATTGATGTTTAATATACATTTTTGGACTCGGGTAATGCAGTGTCTTTTTTATAATTTCATATAAATATTTTACAATTAATTGCTTGATTTTTAAAATGTATTTAATCTTAATACTACTATTTTTTTATTTAAATATTATTAAATATTATTTGTAATGCTGATTTATCTGTATGTTCTTAATTATCAAACTTAAATTGCTCTCTGGCATAGAAATTTATAAAATAAAAATAAAATAACTATACTGCAACAGCAAAGAAAATCTAGACCCACGTTATATAATTGAAAACTACACGTTCGAAATACACACGGAATAACGAAGTTTCTTCGTAATTTATCATTCTACTCTTATAATACATGCTATAATCGTTAGTGATTTATTTTAATCTCGTTAAAGCATTGAGTATGCAAAATCATGTATTGAACTATTAACTTGACGACGATTATTATCTTTGTCGACCGTTGCAATTGAAGAACGGCCTCGTGGTCAAGTTTAAATATCTATAAGAGAAAAAACAAAGGACACACAAACACAACACGCTAACAGAAAAAACATTGTGTATCTCTATAATGTTTTATTATTTTAGCAATCGTTAATTATATTAATCTTTAAGTCATAGTCGTCGTGTGTCATATATGCATCTGAATAATTGAGTAGCACTTACTTGGACTTATTTATTTCAACTGTACATTTAAATCGAAGAAGTGGTTTTTTAGCATTTACATTATACTCATTCAGATGGATTCGTAAATTGTTCGGCTTACATTTTTTTTTTTTTTTTTTTGTATAAAGATTTAAAAATAGTATTATTTTAATCATTAATAACATGTATAAATAATTAATATGGTTGTACAATTTGTATACTACAAGTACTTGTATACTATAGAGTGTGCAGTTATCTATAAAATATCAATTATATTATAAAGTTAAAGAAAAAAATTATTGAATAAAATAATGCCATAGTGGAATTGGAGTTAGTGAGTATACTCTATATGAATGAAGATACCATTGTTTGAAAAAGTAAAAAAAAACTTCCAAGAAAAAAGTTTTATAGTTTGAAAAAAACATCATTAAATAATTTGGTAAAAGTAAGTTGTTTACAAAACAAAAAGAACATCATCATTTCAAAATATATTTTAAGAATAATTGTGGAGTAAAAAATATTTAATTATAGAGTATCTGATAGATAATATTTTATTCGTTTATGATTTTGATTTAGAAACTACATTAAAAATTAAGTTACCTTAAAACGAATAATATATCAAATTACTATTGATTAATCTAAGATATATTTATAAATAATTTTAAAAATGTATGAATTTAATATTTAAATTTCTTTCGTTGTGTATACAATAACGAACTCAATAATCAATAAATTTACCTTAATTAAAAGTACGTTGAAGTTAGAAATAACTTTATAAATTTGACTTTAAACGACAGCTTAGTAATACAACTACAAGAAAAAAATAAAGAGAGCTGAATAATTCTGCATTTGCGGTGGAGAAGTTGTACGTTTCATAAAAATGTAATGTTCTCCTAGATGTATGAATGTTAATAATTATTGTTAATCACGTGACCATAAGGTAAAAATCTTACACTTCAGTTCATACCTCAACATTAATTTCCGAACTATTTAATAGGGTGGCCATTCGTCCCGGATTTTCCAGGATGCTACCGGTTTAGGAATCCATGTCCCAGCGTCCCGGACAAAGGTTCTCGGAACACCGATTAGTACCGGTTTAGGACTTTTGCATAGTAATGTCCCGGATATTGAAATTTCGCTTTTATAATTTTATTCTTTTATTTACTTGGTTATCAATTTTATTTTGAACAAATCCTATTTAAATTATTTTGA